CACTGTATAAGTTTTGGGGGTTAACAATTAACTTTATAATTATAAAACAGTTTTATGCTTCTGTAAAATAGGCTTCCATCGGACAGTACTTCCCTAAGAGTTGAAACAATTGTTTTAGTGAGAAAATAATAGAAACACACTCCTTTCAAAGTATTTTAAGTTGCCAAACCTCTGTTTAAGCTAAATTGGGAATACCTCTTTCTTTAATAACTTGGATAAAGAACAGTTTACCAAAGAGCAAAAACAAATGCATTTAGAAACTGTTTTCTCTCAAACATTTAGAACACATGTTAATAGAGAGAAAAACTATAAAATGTACATTTCAGTGTTGAAGAGAAGTTTAAAATGAAACAAGAATAGTTAATACTTAACAAGTACGCTGTCACTGAGAAACAATTGTACTAGACATACACATTCTATACTAGAGAAGTAAGCCTGATAAGGTTAGTAAAGGTTTATTTCTCCAGAAATGTAGCCAGTGTTTTGTTAATGACAGTCATCAGGGTACACAGCATGGGAATATAAGCCACCTCTGGGAAGCCCAGTATTGCTCCTGAAAGCATCTTTTATCTCCCCACTCCAGCTGGGCCACTACTGAGTAAATGGATCTCATGGACACCCCAGTGGAGAAGAGCTTGGTTTGGGTTGCTTTAAAGACATATCTTGAACACCAGTGAAGTCCATTTTTCCATGTTTGCTTGTTACGAAAAAATTCAGACAAAAATACAAGCAAAACTCAATTCTGCAGACATATTGCCCCATCCTAGTGTTCAAAGCTCCCCACACGCCCTCCCCTAGCTGTGCGACATTGTGTCATTGATCATGCAGCCAGGCACCCTCCATAACCTGCTGCCAAGATTGTTCTTACCATTAGCCTTCATTCCCTACCTGAAGGCCTTGTCCTCTAATGCTGCTTCTCTGAATCTTATTATCCTTCAGGACTCTACTAAAGTCCAGTGCACAGACTTTACTAATTACTCCAGCTCGTGAGGATCATCTCCATTCACTCTCACTGACCTTAAACACACATCTGTTGGAGTATTTAGCCTATTCTTTGTCTATGTGTCTATTCCATCTCTGTGCTATGATCTGCTACAGAGCAGGGATCACCTTATTTATTTCTGTGTCTGATCCAATGCCTAGAACTTTGCCTAACATGTAGCAGAATCTCATTTAAAACGCATGGGGCAGGTTGGCTGGTCGCGGTGGCTCACGCCTGTAATCCCAGCACTTTGGGAGGCCAAGGTGGGCAGATCACGACGAGGTCAGGAGATCGAGACCATCCTGGGTAACACGGTGAAACCCCATCTCTACTAAAAATACAAAAAATATTAGCCGGGCGTGGTGGCAGGTACCTGTAGTCCCAGCTACTCGGGAGGCTGAGGCAAGAGAATGGCGTGAACCCAGGAGGCAGAGCTTGCAGTGAGCCGAGATTGCGCCACTGCACTCCAGCCTGGGTAACAGATCGAGACTCCATCTCAATAATAATAATAATAATAATAAAAATGCATGGGACAGGTTACCAAAGGTGTATGAGGGAGGCTGAATAGAAGGAAGGATTAGGGAGACTCCTGGGATGCTGACAATATTCTGTATCTTCACCTGAATAATAGTTATGTGTGTGTTTGCATAGTTAAAATGTATTGAGCTGTGGAAAAAAAATTGTGGAAGCAACAAAAGAATGAACTAGTGACAGAAATTACCCAAATTAATAAACATTGCAAACATAGCCACATGCTCATTGTTGTTTCAAGTAGCACAATGCCAGCTTCACCATTTAGTAACAATGAAATATCCAAGTGACAATGACAATAGAAGCACAGACACATGCACAGACACACACACCACTGAATTTCTTTCCCATTTGGCTCATTGCTCCACTGTGCCTCTTCTGCACCTGCCACCAGCCCAGACCATGTAAGAAGGCTCCACCCCTGACTTTGTAAGACTGTTTAACAAGCCCCTCCCCACTGTCAGGATGCCAAACCTCTGGGAGAACCTTTTTGCCATTGTGGGAATCCACCCTGCCTGAGTAAGCTGAAATCCCCAATTCTCTGCAACCCCCAACATGATTTAATCAACTTTCCCTTCAGTTCCCGGTCCTCCGGCACTTGGTTCAATTCAGTTCAACAAATAGTTGTTGAGAATGTTATGTGCTAAGTCACATGGGTCATAATGATGAACCGGAGGTGTCTCCAAGTTTTTGTGTGTATGTGGCAAAATATACATAACGTAAAATTTATCATTTAAACCACTTTAAGTATAAAATATAGTGGCATTAAGTACATCCACGATGTTGTACAACCATCACCACTATCCATTTCCAGAACTTTTTCATCTTCCCAAACGGAAACGCTGTATCAGTTAAATACGGGCTCCTTGTTCCTCTCTTCCTCCAGCCCCTGGTAACCACCATTCTCCTTTCTGTCTCTATGAATTTACCTATTCTAGGGACCCCATATAAATGAAACCATATGATATGTGTCCTTCAGTGTCTGGTTTACTTCCTTTAATGTTTTCAAGGTGCATCCAAGTTGAAGTACTTATCAGAATTTTATTTCTTTTTAAGGCTGAAAAATATTCCACTGTATGTATATATCACATTTTCTTTAGTCATTCACTCCTTCCTATTTTGGAGGAATTTACTGTCTAGCAAAGGAAAGCATGCCAGTTCTTGCCCACTAGTTTGCAGACCATAGTCCAGCATCTGTTTTCTCAAACCTAGAACCTTCCACCAAAATTCTTTGTGTTTGGTTTTTGCAGGGAACACATGTGACTCTTCCACCTCTTTATCCCACCATCTATCATGGTGCTGGCACATAATAAGCACCCAATTAACAGTCGTTTGTTAGTGCATGAAGGACGTTCCCTGGGGTCTTCTAAGAAGTCTCTTTCTGAAGTTTCTTTTACTTCATCATAGTCCCTACTTTTGACCTGTCACTCATTTTCCCTGCAAAAGACTAATGGATCTGGCCCCTGCAAAATACAATTTTTACAAAACTCCTCTCCTCAGCCCAGAGAAAAGAGTATCCACAAGAAATGATAAGTACAAATGGTGCTGGGTTGGGAGTCAAGAGATGTGAATTTCACTCCCAGCTTTACTATGACATAACTATGCCAAGTCACAAGCTCCTCAGGTCTCAGGAATCTATGACTGTAGCCTAAAATAAAGGTGTTAACTGGTCCTATTCAGTTATAAACTTGCATAATGCCAATTTGCAAAAAGCAGACAAAGCAATATCTTGATGACATGTCTCAGACACATCTGGAAAATGTCCAAAAAGGTTCCTAAAAATTCTTGTGATTATGAAAACAGTTTACCTACAGCTTCTTTAGCAATTCTACTGTGTCCTTTCTTTTATATTTCAACTACTGGGAAAACTATCATAGACTTTTATTTCAGTGGGCAAGAGAGGTACAATTTCCAGCTGGAACTAGACTGTTTAGCTATTATCACTGAAGAGTAGAAGAAAATGAAGGAAAATAATATTCATTTTGCCTAAAAACTTAAAGAATTGAATGAAGATATTACCTCTCTTTTGGCAAAAGGAGACAGGAAATTGATAACAAGTACAATCTGAAAGCAAATTGTTTGGGCTCTTTCACTGAGGAAGAATTTATTTTGCAGTCAGCTTTGGCTAGTACATTTTGCCACTATATAATTTTTTGCAGTTCGAGAAACTTCTCTGAATGCATGAGCAGGAAATTAGCTCATTTGACACCTTTCTAGCTCATACAATGCTATTTCAGCTATTTGCAGGCAACAGATATGAACTGGTAAAATCTGAGAGGAGGGACCAAAAATGAAAAGGCTAATAAATAGAAGCTGGCCTCCCAATGATACAGAACTTTGCTTCACTAAGCTCTCCCTTAACCCAAGGAACTCCAAGTGGCAATCCTGAGAATACCTTTGTTCTCCTCAGTGGGTGATGACAATGAGATAATCATCGCCAACAAAAGTAATGCAACTTAAATGAACAGAAACCCTCTCAGACTACATTGAATGGGAATGATTCTTTCCTTATAAAATAATAAACATTAATAATTCACATGCGAAGGATGAAGAAACCTATAAGATTCTGGTAAAAGTAGTCATATTACAATAGAACTATCAATGGGAAAAGTCCTAAGGAATGAACTGGATGGCAAAAACTGTTACAGTACAAAAAGTTTCAAGTATTCTCTCATGGCTAATTTTGCACCGTTCATTGAATTAATTATATAAAGGTCATTTAATAAATAACACCACACTTACTACAAATAGGCAAACACCCAATTTAATTTTCAAACCAAGATTACTAAAGAGGAATCAAAAGCGACCAAGGGTAAGTGGTCAGAAATCTAATAGAATAAGCGCAGAGAGAAGGAATCTTAGTTGGTACTGGCTCCCTCACCACCTCCCTCCAGCCGTACCATATTGTGTCCATTCCTAAAATGCATCACTTTTACACCCTTGAACACTGTCTACCACGCAGACAGTAAATGGCTCTGAAGCCACTGAACGTGATCACAGATAAATAAGAATCCACTTACTAGCTCTGGGATCTTGGGCAAGTTACTAACCTCTCTCAGTTTCATCACCTTGACAATGGAAATAATAATAGCAGTAGAGTCATCCCTCCCTATCCATGGAGGATTGGTTACGGGACCCCTGCAGATATCAAAATCTGGGGATGTTCAAGTCCTTGATATGAAATGGCATAGTATTTGCATATACCCTACATATATCCTCTTCTATACTTTAAATCATATCTAGGTTACTTGTAATATTTAATATAATGTAAATGCTACCTAAATAGTTATTATACTGTATTTTTAAAATTTGTAGTATTTTTAGGCTGGGCAAGGTGGCTCACACCTGTAATCCCAACACTTTGGAAGGCCAAGACAGGAAGATCACTTGAGGCCAGGAGTTTGAGATCTGCCCTATCAACATAGTGAGACTGCTTCTCTGCAAAAAAACAAATGAATTAATTAAATTAAAACTGTATTATTTTTATTGTTGTATTGCTATTTTATGTTTTTGTTTTCCCTAATATTTTCTATCCAAAGTTGGTTGAATCCACAGATGTGGAGCCCATGGATATGAAGGGCCAACTCTATCTCTTTTGTAAAGTTTGGCAAGCTTTAAATAAAATTATATATTGTAAAATGATTAGAGAATGCCTAGCCCATGGTAAGCCCCCAATAAATAATAGCTATTAGACTATGAAATCTCATGATGAGATTACATGTAAGAAAATTGGGGCCAGATGACCTAGCTAGTAATACACACCTAACTCATGCCATAGACCGGCCCTTAATCTAAATGTTTCTTAAAATGTGGCCTATGTTCTCATCAGCATTACAAATCACTTCTGATCCTTTATAAAAAATGTAGATTCCTGGGCAATGCCCACAAATTGGAACTCAATTAGTTTTAGGGAATGAGAATCCACTTCCTTAAATAAACACTCTAGCACATTCCAATAGACATTTTGAGAACCAATAATCTAGTTGTTCTCAAGTTTTTGTATCTGCATCACTTGAGAACTTGTTAGAAATGCAAATTCTTGGGTCCACCTGACCTAGTGAATCAGAAACTTTAGGATAAACCAGACATCTGGGTTTTCCAACCCTCCAGCTGGGTTTTACAACTGCACTCATCGGTACCTTCCTATTCAGATACAGCCAGAGACCCAGACACGAGAGCCAGCAATCCAGGGTCACCCTTGACTCCACCCATCTCTCTTCCTCACTTCTGGCAGCCAATCAACCACCAAGTACTGCCTATTTTGTTTTGTCCTCTTTCCCTCCCAACCTCTATTTCTCTATTCCACGTCTTTGTCCACTGCTTTTTGACTGCCAAAAAGGACTCCTACCAAATGTCTCTGCTTCCAGTCATGTCACTCTCAAATCCAGTGCTGCACCTAAATTGCAAGTCTGACACTTTCACTCTCCTGCTTAGCACGCTTCAGCAAATTCCCATTGCTCTGAAGACTAAAGATCCTTAAAATGGCTTATAAGTCCTTTCAGACTCTGCCTCTGCCTAGTATGCTGGTTTCGCTAATAACCACCCCCTGCCTCCAATTTTCTGCCCTAACAGCTGAAGCCTCTTAGAATTTTCCTCCACAAATTCTACTATTTTCCACCTGTAAACTTCAGCTCCTGCTGCTCCCTTCCTTCCACATTTCACTCTCCCCACTCCAGTGCCCTGGCTAAATTTTACTAGTTCTAATTTTAATTTATTTGTTTATTTTACGGGAAAAAAAAAATCCCAAGCCCTTTTTACCTTTCTCCCAAGGTAGAGTTACAGCCCATTCAGTGGTTTCTGACATATTGCCTCGTCTCTGGTTGCCTGCTTCCTTATGTCCATTTCACCCACTCATTGCTCCATTCATCTTGTATCCCCAATACCTAGCAAGGGGCTTTGTCACAGAAAGAAATCAAAATCAGTTTGCTGAACCATTTAATCCACCCGTAACAAGATTCACTATGTTGTTGGCTGAGATCAGGGTTGTGGTCTACAGCCAGGCAATTTTCTGTATAGTGAGTCTTTCCAAGGAACTGGTCTTAAATTCATGATCATTATTCTCAAATTAACTAAATTAGAATGCAGACACTATATTCTGAACATTTTGCAAAACAGTGAGATATTGCAGCAAATCTGACCTGGACCAGCTCCTGAGAATTGAGGCTTCTGTGCTGCATGCTGCTAAACCTCAGACAGAAGGACTCAGCCAATTTTAAATTATACACTTTTTACAAATCAAAGACCGTGCTTAATGTTTCCAAGCACTTTACAAAAATGTATTCCTTTTTTTCATAATATTGTAAGGAATGAAGAGTTATTCTGATATACATTATGTATTTAAATGATGAGAATCAGTAAGTGGAGCTGAATGCCCCAAAGCGAAGAAAGCTAGGTAATGTTATACCTTAGATGCAAACTTAAGTCACTTTCTTTTAGGAACACAATGGATTTGCGTACAATGGCCCTTATCCCACTCCCTGGAAAATCAACACAATTTAAAGGTCATAAAACTCAGTGGGACCACATTGTTCCACCTCAAAGATAAAATAATTACCATGGCAAGATAAGAAAGGCTAGGAGATGTTCACAAAGTATTACAAAGGACTGCTTCCAAAAGAATACATATATGTAATAAAACTAAGTTAAACAGAATATTATGAAAACATTACCTGGGAAATTACCTCCTTCCAAAGATTTAATAATAGAATATGCATTGGGAAATCAAAGCAGACACTTCTCCCCAAAGGCAAACACCAGTGGGTAAATTTAGGAATCAGAGACTGTGTCCTCTTATGGTTGTTGTTACTCTGGCAAGGTGAAAGAAAATCTTTCCAAAACAATAGATTCTAATTCAAATTAAAGGATGACCTGGATGTCTATAAAATGTGGGAAAGACTAGTGACCTTTTCTGTTGCAGTCCCACTATTTGGACAACAACATATCTCCCGATGGTCAGCGGCTGCCGTAGACTAGGCATGGGACACATGGGGATCTGTCTTAAAACAACTCAGTGTCACTGATGATAAGCTTTTCTCCTTCTTATTTGATTTAAAAAAATCATATTACCTACCTTCAGAATCAAACTCGTGTCCAAAATCATAATGCAGAATGACTCTTAAATCTATGGCGCATGTTAAGGGAGAAAAGAGACAGAAAAAGTTTTTCAAAATTCTCCCTCCTTAATACCATGCCTCAGTAAAAGAAACCATGGTTTGTCCATAGAAATGGCTCATTCCAGGGTAAGGCAGGGAAAGTGTAAAGTGAGGCCTGGGACACCTTGCTATTCCAGAAAATGCGGAAGTACTTGAATAAAAAGATGGGATTTTGTCATGGAAATGCAGGAGCCACTTTGGAAGCATCAAAAGCATAATCCGTAAAGATTGATAACTTAGACTTGGTCAAAATCAAAACTTCTGCTCTTTGAAAGACACTGTTCAGAAGATGAAAAAAACAAGTTACAGACTGAGAAAATATTTGCAAAGCGCATGTCTTATCAAGTAACATATCCAAGATACTTAAGGAACTCTCAGAACTTAATCATATAAAAAACAACCCTATTACAAAATGAACAAAAGATTTTGAAGAGATGCTTCATCAAAGAAGATGGATGGATGGCAAACAGGCATATGAAATAATGTTCACTAACCATTAGGAAAATGCAAATTGAAATCACATATATGTTCAACTGAGTTTCAACCAAAGTGCAAAGGCAGTTCTGTGGTGAAACAACAGTTTTTACAACAAATAATGTTGGAACAATTGTACATCCATATGCAAACAAAACAAGACAGACAAACAACCTTGACTTCTAGCATATACAGAAAATAGATCAATATTTAAAATCTAAAGCAATTAAACTTCTAAAAAAAGTATGCAAGAAATCTTTGTAACCCTGAGTTAGATTTCCTAGATACAACGTAAAAACCACAATGAAATACCATTATACATAGATAAGAATAGCTAAAATTAAAAAGACAGACTATACAAAATGTTGGCAAGGGTGTCAAGCAACTAGAATTCTCATATTCTGTTGGTAGAAACAAAAAATAGTACAGCCACTTTGGAACACAGCTTGGGTTATAAAGTTCAGCATACACAGACCATATAACCCAGCAGTCTTAATCCTAGTCATTTACCCAGGAAAAATGAAAACTTACATTCACCCAAATCTTTCAAACAAATGTTTATGGTAGCATTATTCATAATCACTATAAACTGAAAAGAAAATAAAACAAATGTCCTTCAACTGATACATATGATACCAAAAATATGATATAGCCATGCAATGGTATGCTACTCAGCAATAAAAGGAAACAAAGTAATGTCATATGCAACAACATGGATGAATCTCAAATGCATCATCCCTAGTAAAAGAAGCCAGACTCAAAAGGCTACATTAGACACAGAAAGTAAATTAGTGGCTTCCTGAGACTGGGAGGTTGTGAGAAAATGGGCAAATGAGAATGCCAATAAATGGGTATTGAGTTTCTTTCTGAAGTGATGAAAATGTTCTCAAATTGTGAAAATAACTGCACAGTTTTGTGAATATACCAAAAACCATTGAATTACATATTTTAAAGAGGAAATTGTATGATACATAAATTTTATCTCAATAAAGCTCTTTTTAATAGAAAAGTTACATACTGCATGATTCCATTTATATGGCTTTCTGGACAAGAGAAAACTATAGGCACAGAAAACAGGTCACTGATTGTCAGGGCAGGTGAAAGGGTTGACTAGAAACTAGGGCTTGAGGGAACTGTCTGGGAGTGATGGATCCATGTTATATCTTGGTTGTGGTGGGGGTTACACATTTGTACGTGCTTGTCAAAACTCAACTAAACAGGATTTACTGCAAGTAAATAATACCTCAATGAACTTGACTTTTAAATATCTATATACATATTTTCCAACAGAAAAATTGTGTTTTGCTTTGTGGTTTTTAATTTGTATACTGGAGTGATAAGACTATTCACCAACCCTCCCCCACCAATACTGTATTAGTGCACAATCATAATACCTTTGAATACCTCATGTCATTGCATTTTTTTTGCCATTGAAGTAGTTCCATTCCACTTTTTAAATTGTTTTGAATAAATGTAAGAGGTAATGCAGACATGTGCATTTCTAGTCACAATTATAAAGCTATTAACTAGACCTGAATCCATTTATTTTGGCTTTATGAATAAGATAAATTCAGTTTACATGTGCTTATTAAGTTAACAAAGGGCTTTACATTCTGAAAAAGCATGTGCCTAATTAAGAGAAACATTCCAAAATTTAATTATTTCAATCTTGAATGCTTTTAAAGAGTATGTTAGGTTTTTCTACTAGGAAAGCTGTATTTTTTTAAATCAGAAAAATCGTGAAATACAGAAAGTTTGCAAGAATCAGAATAGTATAAAGAATTTTTAAATAACATTTACCCAGATTCACTGATTACCAACCTTTTACCCACATGTTGTCATTTGCTGTCTTTTATATATATGGGGCTAGTTCTGTGCTTTCTAGTCTGTTCCATTGATCTATCCTTTGTCTATTCTTTTGCCAATAGCAACTGACCCTGATTAATGCAACAGTCCATAAATCTTTGTCTTAGTCCATTTTCTGTTGCTCTAGCAGAATGCCACAGACTGGGTAATTTATAGAGAACAGATGCCTATTCAGCTCATGGCTCTGGAGGCTGGCAAGTCCAAGAGCATGGTGTGGCATCTGATAAGTGTCATCCCATGGGGGACTGGTGGGTGACAGAAGTCTGTGAGACAGGGCAAAGCACCAGGGGCCAGACTCACTTTATAACAACCCACTCTTGAGTTAACTAACCCACTGCTGTGGTAATGGCATTAATCCATTCCTAAGGGCTCTACTCTCATGACCCAATCACCTCTTATTTGGCCCCACCCCCCAACACTGTTGCATTGGGGATTAAGTTTCCAGCTCATGACCTTTTGGAGAACACATTCAAACCACAGCAATTTTGAAACCAGGTAGTATGGTTTTCCAACTTTGTCCTTCTTTTTCAAAATCGTTTTTGCTATCCTAGCTCCACTGCCTTCCCATTCAAGTTTCTGAATTAACTTGTCAACACCTACAAAAAGTCCAGCTGAGGTTTGATCGGGAATGCATTGAATCTATAAATCCACCAGAGGAGGATCGAGTTTAACAATATTGACTCTTTCCATGCAAGGACACAGTATCTCTCTCCACTTATTCAGATATTTAATTTTTTTCTAAGGAAAAAATTAGTTTTTATTTCTGGCATCTTCTTTTTCATCCCTGCCTATCCCTCACTCCATTCTTCAAAGTCAAGTTTTGACATTTGAAAGAATGTGCTTAAAACAGGGACAAAAGTAGTATCTTTATATGTTTAGGTTTTCAGTTACTAACCTACTAAAAGCCCTCTGTATCTAAATGTTTCGACTGAATAATGACTCAGAATATGTTGGCTAACTTCCTTAATTATAAATGAATTAGCTATATACAGCTGGCCTTTGCTTTTTTATTAAACAATGATAATTATTCCAAACATCAGAAAATAATCATGAGAACATAAAGTCTAACAAATCAGTACCCTCTGTGCCAGATAGCATTCCTTTCATGGATCACAAATTGTATATGATTATCTCATTCACAAGGTTCAAAATAAATTGCATACATGGATAATCTAACCCCAATGTCAACGGGTCAGTTTAAACACATACCCTTGAAGCCTGTAACAGAGGCAGGGGTCAGCATTAATATAAGGAGAATCCATTAACTGAGAAGAACACACACAACCATATTCAAAGACTACAATTGTGACAGCAATTGGTAAACTGAATATTTTTCAAAAAGTCTCTTTGTTCTTAATGGCACAAAAACCATTGTTGGTCTATAACACACTGTCACTGTCATGAACAGCAGGAGTGAGTACTGGTGCATGCAAGGAATCAAAGGCTGTGATGAAAGGGTCCGTAATTAATAATAATTGCTTCCCAAGTGTCTATTTTACATAAAGATTCCACTTCATAAGGGACACATTCAAGACCACTGGGTAGGCGTAATATTTTCACTGCGGGTGGTCCTTTCTTGGAATGCTATTCAAAGACTCTGCATGGGACTAGCAAAACATCGTTAATAAGAATGATAGAGAAGAACTGTAGGGACCAAGCACACCTTGCCAAGGGCAACATCTTGCAACTCACCAGCAACAGTGAAAAACCAGCCCATGAAGCTTCTGAAGTAAACGTCTCCACCCAAAGACACTGAAGGCACAGTTACACATTTAGTCAAATTTTTACATTTAATGGGTGCCTTTTTGGAGGTGGTGACCAAGAGTGAGGATGATGCTTTGGGATACCTTACTTGCAGGATTTGTTGTATACTTATTATTCTTCTGGAGGTAATTCTGAATAAAAGAGAAAAAACTTTATTAATGCTTTTGAATGAAGTTAAATTTAAAAATGTAAAGCATCAGGAACCCTGCAAAGAGCAACCAGAATAATATCCCACAAAATGAGAGCAATTGAAACAAATATGTCAACACTTTTAAGCTCATATTAGAAAATCATTCATTTTAGTGTTCACTGGAAAGCATATGAATACAATTAACGGGATACAATTTAGAAATTATTTTGATAATCATCTAATAATTATGAATCACTGTGGTAGACTAATTACAGCAAAAACCCCATTCTCCAACCTTTCCTATACCCAACTCCCTGCAATGTAAATTTGCAGCTTCACCCCATGAAGTTGGACAGGCTTTGTAACTGGCTTTGGCCAGAAAAAAAGTGCAATGGAAGTGACAACTATGTCAGTCTTGAGACTGGATTTCAAAACTTCAGGCACTGCCAGGCATGGTGGCTCACACCTGTTATCACAATACTTGGGGAGGCCAAGATGTGAGGATCCCTTGAGCTCAGGAATTCAAGACCAGCCTGAGCAACATAGTGAGACTTCATCTCTACAAAAAATATATATATATATTTATAATATGTATTTATATATAATATATAAATATACACTTATATTATAAATATACATTTATTATATATATTATTATAAATATATATATTTATTATATATACATATATTATAAATATATACATTTATTTTATATATATATTTTTTTTTAATTAGCCAGCAAGGTGATGTGTGCCTGTAGTCCCAGCTACTCAGGAAGCTGAGGTGGTACTTGAGCCCAAGAGTGTGAGGCTACAGTGAGCCATGATTGAGCCACTGCACTACAGCCTTGGTGACAGAGCAAGACCTTGTCTCAAAAAATAACAAAATAAATAACAAAAGGTCAGGTGCACGTTGTAGTCCTGCCCCACAGTCATGAAACAAACTTTACCTAGCCTGCTGGATGAACAGAAGCAGATAGTGGAACATCATTCCTGCTGAGGCCATCCTAAACCAGCCAGCCACCAGCCAATTTCCCTGCCGCCGGGAGATCATCAGTGAAAAAAAGGTCAGACTAACCTAAGCCAGCCCAGACCTGAAGAACCACCCTGCCAAGCCATCAGCTCATAAGCATAATTAATATAAGGTTGTCGTTTTAAGCTATGAAATTTTGAGGTGGCTTGTTACACCTTATGAAAGGCTCATCTACCTTTCAAAGTCGCTGCTTGGATTTCATTCTACAACCTTCTATTTAACTCTCCTTGTGTTTTCTCAGCTACCAATGTCACCATTACTCGTCCTATGACTCTGGATTAAGCAATCTACTTTGACTTCTCCCTCTCCTGTACTTCCCATAATCAGTCACTTAATCTGGCAGCTTCTATACAGATGTAGATCTCAAAGCTATCTGCTAGTCTCCATTTTTTCTGCCACACTACAAGTAAAGGTCTTCATCATTTGTCTTCTAAAACATCTCCTTTCCTCATTCTTTTGCCTCTTTAATACAGTCTTTAATCACTAAAGAGGAATAATTTTCTTACTAAATCAAAATCATTGTTTTATTAAAATGCATGTCAGGACATATCATCCCATAAATGCAAGTCAGACACTTTAACAACCCCCAGTTCCCTACAGAATGTTCCGAACAGTTGAGCATGGAATTCCAGATGCTTCATTATCTGATCCCAATTTTTCCTTGTTTCCCCTGCATCCCTGCATACTTTCACAGTCATCACACCAAAACAATCATCTCCATGTTTTCAAATGTTGTCATCTTCCCTTTCTTCCCCACCTACTGAACTTCCAACAAGCTGATTCAACTACTGACAACTTTCTGACCGTCTTCTCCAGTAGGCATGTGTCCCCCCAGCCACTCACATCCCCATCTACTGCCTTGGGTAGATCTGTCCTTTTCCCTGAACATCTCGAATATGCCTCCATTGTTATAGTAAAGTTTTCATTAAAGTTTAACCTCTACTTAGTCAAGTGCTAAAGGTTGTAAATTTTTGACAGCATGACATATGAACCTTTGCATCCCTCATACAATAGTACAATGCTTGATAGGCTAAATACAATGTGTTATGGATCTGGGGTCTTAGACTGGGGAGGAACTCTTCAGAAAAAAATGTGTTTTCTAGCCAAAAGTCAAATCCAGATGTGGTGCAAATAAATACTCTTGCTCCATGATCAAAAATAAAAGATTACAAACAAGGACAAGTAAGCTTTTGACTCCTTCAAAATTCTAACAATATTATAATACAGCATCAGCTACTTCACTCCTACTCAGAAACTGACAAATATGACTATGTTAAATTCAATTAGAATCAGGACCCAGAAGTGCTCCAATCCCTTTCTACTCTCATCCTAATCTGTCTGACATATTTGGAAGAATCAAATAAGTGAAAGGTGGTTTCTGAACACAGTAAAACTTAGAAAAGCAGAGCTCTCCCTTTTTTTTTTTTTTTTTTTTTTTTTTTTTGTATCCTGCTGTGAATTTAAGAAAGAAGATAAGGTGCTACCAGGACTTACGTGATAGCCATTTCTTTTAGGCACATATTATAACATTCAGATGAAAGTTCTCTAATCACACACACAAACACACACACTGTGCCTCTAAAAACAAACATGGTGATTCTAAGCAAAGTCTCTCAATTTCTCTGGGTCACTATTTCCTCATCTGTAAAATGAGTGGCTGAGGCTACCTGAGCACTAAACTTTAGTGAGCTTATTAAGCATCAGTTTACTGAAACTGGTGTTCACAATAATAAACACAAGGGAAGGCAAGATATTTAGTAACAAAAATTTAAGTATTAAATTATGCATAGCATATAATGTATTTATAAAGATAGCAAAAGAAATCAACATAATTTTGAAAGATTTTTAACAAAACTGAAAAATATTTTCATGGCCTTCAACAAGAAATTTCAATTAATAAGAACACTCCATCCCTACATGATATGGTTTGGATATTTGTCACCTCCAAATTTCATGTTGAAGATGTTGGAGGTGGGGCCTAGTGGGAGGTACTGGATCCTGGGGGCAGGTCCTTCATGAATGGCTTAGCACCATCCCCTTTGCAGTAAGTGAGTTTTCACCCAAATAGTTCACATGAGATCTGGTTGTTTAAAAGAGTCTGGGACCTCCCCCTTCACTCTCACTCCCACCCTTGCCATGTGACACCCTGCTCCCCCTTTGCCTTCCACCGAGATTAGAAGCTTCCTGAAGCCCACACCAGAAGCTGAGCAGATGCCAGCGCCATGCTTCCTGTACAGCCTGCAGAACCGTAAGTCAACTAAACATCTTTACAGATTACCCAGCTGCAGGTATTTCTTTGCAGCCATACAAGAACAGACAAACACAGAAAATTGGTACTGAGGAGTAGGGTGCTGAAAATGTGAAAGCAGCTTTGGAACTTGGTAATGGCCAGAAGTTGGAAGAGTTTGGAGGTCAAAGAAGACGACAGGAAGATGAGGGAAAGTTTGGAACTCCTTAGAGACTGATTAAACGGTTGTGACCAAAACGCTGATAGAAATATGGACAGTGAAGTCCAGACTGATGAGATCTCAGATGGAAATAAGGAAGTTATTGGGAACTAGAGTAATGGTCACCCCGTTACACCCTGGCAAAGAACTTGGCTTCACTGGGTTTATGCCGTAGGGATTTGTGGAAGTTTGAACTTAAGAGTGATGACCTAGGGTATCTGGCAGAAGAAATTTCTAAGCAGTAAGACATTCAAGAAGTGGCCTAGTAGCTTCTGACAGCTTATAATCAGATAATGGGACCAAAGAAATGACTTCAAGTTGGAATTTATATTTAAAGAGAAAGCAGTGACTGGACATGGTGGCTCATGCTATAAACCCAGCAATTTGGGAAGCCGAGGGGTGAAGATTGCTTGAACCCGGGAGTTTGAGGCTAGACCTGGCAACATAGTGACACTCCATCTTTACAAAAAAATAAAAATCAGCCAGGCATGATGGTACATCTCTGTAGTCCCAGCTCCTCAAGAGGCTGAGACTGGAGAATCTCTTGAGCCCAGAAGGTTGAAGCTGCAATGAGCCATGATCACACCACTGCAGTCCAGCCTGAGTGACAGGGCAAGATCCTGTCCCTAAATAAATAAATAATAGGAGGAGAGCATAAAAGTCTGGAAAACTTGCAGCCTGGCCCTGTGATCGAGAAGGATTCCAAGCACACTGAGGAGCAACCACCTGCTAGAGAGATTACTATGACTAAAAGGGTGCCAAGTGTTACTATCTAAGACAATGAGAAAAAGGCCTAGAAAGCATTTCAGAAATCTTTGAGGCAGCCACTCCCATCACAAACCCAGAGGCCTAGAAGGAAAAAGTAGTTTCAGGGGCCAGGCCCATGGCCCCACCGCCCTGATCAGCCTTAGGACACTGCTCCCCACATTCTGGTTCAGGACACCACTTTAGAGAGGGTCAGCCATTAGCGTTGGTGGCTGCCATGTGGTGTTAAGCCTGTAGGCCTATGGAATGCAAGAGTGAAGGGGGTTTGGCGGCTTCCACATGGATTTCAGAGGGTGTATGGGAAAGCCTGAGTGTCCAGGCAGAAGCTTGCTGCAGAGCCTCTACTAGGGCAGTGTGGAGGGAAAACGTGGGGTTGGAACCCTAATACACAGTCCCCACCAGGGCACTGCCTAGTGGAGCTGTGACAAGGGGGCTGCTGCCCTCCAGTCCCACCTGCAGTAGATACAGTGGTAGATTTACTACTGAAAAAGGATGATTGTGTTTTATAACATGAGAAGGACGTGAGATTTGCGGGGGCCACATGCAGAAAGATATGGTTTGGATATCTGACCCCTCCAAATCTCATGTTGAGATGTGATCCCTAATGTTGGAGATGAGGCCTCATGGGAGGTGTTGGATCATGGGGGTGGATCCCTCATGAATGGCTTAGCACGAACCCCCTTAATGTTGAGTGAGTTCTTGCTCAGTTAGTTTACCAAGATGTGGTTGTTTTAAGAGTCTTGGACCTCCCCCTTTGCCCTCTCATTCCTGCTCTGGCCATGACCCACCTGCTCCCCCTTTGTCTTCTGCTATGATTGGAAGCTTCCTGAGGCCCTCACCAGAAGCTGAGCAGATGCCGGCACCATGCTTCCTGTACAGCCTGCAGAACAGTGAGCCAATTAAACCTCTCTTCATAAACCACCCAGTCTCAGGTATTTCTTAATGTAATGCAAGAGCAGACCAACACACTGTCACACCACTCAGTTAATCAGGGTATTATTGTGAATATTAAAATATTACACTAGTCTTACAGAGTGTAGAATAGTAACAGACTTTGTATGAGCTGTGGGGCCTTGGACAGGTCACCTAACCTCCAATTTATTACATGAAAAATAGGAATAATTCCTGCCTCATGGTAGGGAACAGGTAAGGTTATAAAGACTGAATGAGATAACGTACATGCGATGCCTATAAGACAGCAGTTACTAAACAAATATTAGGTGTTAACTACCCTTTCTCCACCATCTCCAGGAAAGTTCAATAGGACATTCTGACAACACATAATTGGAAGTTACCTCTCAACTGTATAATGCGCTCCTTTATTTTTCATCATTCAACGTTCTCTCATAATGATGAAATCTTTTTTCACCGATAGCACTTGCTTCAAAGTCACTTACCTCCTCTGCTTACTGGATGACAGGATGATGATATCATTTTTAAAAGGCCGCAACAAATATATTCATTAAAACAGTTCTGACACAAGTTTTGGCTTAAGTTGTACACTGGCAGATAAAATAAAATCAGGGATATCTGACAATGACTTTGGGTAGCAGAAATGCTATAGAGAGGCAAAGGCCTTGACCTGCCTACTCTCTCCCCAGCACCAGGCAGGATACCCTATTTTAGGAAGGGAAATCTATCATTTTCTTAAATAATGCTTTCCAATCTTTAAATGCCACTCTGTTTGCATCTATTTAAGCAAAGCTGACCTTTTTAAAATCCTTACTGGAAATGACGAATATTGTTAGAAAATTCCATTTTATGAAATTCTTGTTCATTTCATGAAATCACGCCTTTGGTCTTGGCCCATTTAAGTTTAAACGAACAAAGCAGAGTAGGAGGGGCTACAGCCTCCCCGCTGGAGAGGTGCTGAGAGACAGGTTCCGTTGCAGGCACTGAAATAAGCCCAGTCTGTCAGACCAAAGGCAACATCCAAGGACACCAGCAGACAGCTGGTGGAAGTCTCACTGACCGCCAAGAGTCAGGGGAGACACCAGGTTGGAGGCCAAGGGAGTACTCAGTGCCTCTCCTCCAGGGACAGGTAGAAATGTCCTCACCCAAAGGCCACATTCAGCCCACGTGGGAGAGGCCCACAGGCTCCATTCTCTAGGCTGTGATTCAGAGGCAGGGGTTGGTGTCGGAGGATGGGAGTTGATGGGAGGAGACAAGGTGTTTATTCTCATGTGACTGACCTAATGAACAGGAAGCATGATGCGGAGGCAGACAGGGTTAAAGAGGGGCACTTCGATCTCAAAAACAATACCCAAAGTAGGGCACAGAGTCAGAATTGACTAATCAACAAGGACACTGCAGATCCCCAGAGTGATGACACGGAGCTCTGTAAGCCCCACCTCCTCCAGTACCATTCGTTTCTACCAAGGATAACACAGCTCAGAGAATAAGTGTGTAGATAAGAGCAGTTAGTGAAAGTCAACAATGTGCCCCTGCTCTAGGCAGTGGGAAATCAAAGACAGAAAAACAACTGTCTGCCTCAAGAAGCTCAAATTGAGAAGACAGGGTGAAAAATACTGACTATATTGAATGTGAGGAGTGCCAGGCTGCAAATGGTCACTGCAGACTGTGAAGTGCAGAGAAGGCCATCTAACCTACATCTGGTTGCGTCAGGAAAATCTTCTCAACTATTATTATTAATGTGTTTATTGAATTAAGTCCTTGGGGAGTACTGTGGCAGTCCCCCATTTTCCCTCCCCTAAAGAGAAAACATTTCTTTGTCTTTTTTATTTTTAAACATTTAAGAAAATCCTTGCCACCCTTTACTGAATGAACACCCTCTCAATTCTCTCACAGCATTGCTGAATCAGACAACTGGTGCTGCATTCCACCCACAAGACTAATGAGCTTCCAGCTGACCATGGCATCAGAACCCCACACATGAGAAAAGGCGCTTGGCAATCTATCAACATGGTAACTATCCAATCTACCAGGTCATTTCCTAGGCAAAAGTTCATGTGAGCTCCAAATCAACATTAATAATAAGTTAACAAATACTTCCTGTTATCAGCAAACTGCATGCTTTGCCAAAATGTAGTGCTTCAATGAATTAAATGAATGACTTCCTCTTCACAATTCTTTTATGCGACAGGATTTATTGCATCCTTTCTACAGATGAGAAAACTAAGATTCAGAAAGTTAATTAATTTTCTTGAAGTTATATAGCTAGAAAGCAGGGAACCAGAAATCAATTCCTGTTCTGTTTGTTTCCCAAGCCTGTGGAAGTGTAAAATCCTGCCTCTCGCCTACAGTCTTATTCCTTTGCAGATTATTCACTGCCTTGGAGTGTTCAAGCACAATGTCCTTTGGGTTATGCAAATTCTCTAACATGATGTAGTTTTGGCTCTTTTCAAAGGAGTTTGTCATATCCTGTATAACTAGACCTCTATGAAACCTCAAGACTCCCTGCTGACTGCAGTCTTAGGTCTTACATGGCAAACAGGACTGACCCTTCCCCATCCAGCCCCTGGTGAGCTTTCTGGCCTCCTCTCTGGCCACTGTCCCATCACCTTCCTCTGCATTCTTCACTCTATGCAGGAGCCAGCCCATGTCCACATCTATGGTGCTCCCTCTGATCAAAGGCCTTTCCTACTACTTTTTTGCTTGGTAAATTGACTCACCTATTCAGGGCCCAAGTCATCCACTTCTAGGATGCTTTGTCTGTCTCCTTCCCACTCCCCATGCCCCTCTGTATGTCTCACTCTGCTTTTAGAATGCCAGTGCAGCAGTACTCACCCACCCTGTATTATTACTTATTTGTCAATCTCTCCCTAAACCCTTTCTATCCAAGCTGTGGCCCATGGACCAGCAGCATTGATGTCTCCAGGGAATCCTGAGTCGTCCCCAAACCTACAGCATCACAATCAACATTGTTAATAAGATCCCCACAACTTATGTGCACTTTGGACTTTGAGGAGAAACTCTCTCCGTGTCTGAATTTTGGGAAGAGAGGAGTGGTATTTGGTTTGTTTGTTCTGAATATTTTTAAGAGACAGGGTCTTGTTCTGTCACCCAGGCTGGAGTGCAGTGGTGTAATTTTGCAGCCTCAAACTCCTGGGCTCAAGTGACCCTCCTTCCTCAGCCTCCCAAGCAGCTGGAATTATAGGCACAAGCCACCATGTCTGCTGTGTTTGTCTGTTTGGCAGAAACAGGATCTTGCTATAATGCCCAGGCTGGTCTTGAACTCTTGGCCTTAAGTGATCCTCCCACCTAGGCCTCCCAAAGTGCTGGGGATTACAGGTGTGAACCATGGCACCAGGCCAGGAGTGGCATCTTATTTATTCTCAGAACTTACCCCAGGGCCTACCACTGAGTGACTACTCTGTAAATGTTTGTTGAATCAAAGTGAATATGGGCTTTCACTTGATTCTCACAACAATCCTCTGAGTTAGAAACTATTATCTCTATGTAATAGATGGGAAAACTGAAGCTAGAGACTTTTTAAAAAATTTCCTAAAACTCACACATAGTCAATAATTAGTAGGATGAGGGTCAAATCTTCTAATTTCAAGGTCTGTATTATTTTCATTTCTCTAAACTATTTCCCATGCATTATAAATAAGAACAAATATTTATGCAATAACTCATACAATATGTATTTTAGCATAAGAATATTGCCCAGGCAGGATTAGCAGCCACTTTGCTTTCATGTTCATGAAGTGAATGCACCCTATCATTCCTCTAGGTAGGAATATCCACCCAGCATGAGTGGTGCATTGTGTGCAGTACTAAACATGGAGAGGAAAATGAATCGAATCAGCTCCTGCCCTCATGGAGATACCAACAAATAAAGAGTAATCCTCTTCCAGTGTGAGAAGAACCACGCTCTATGTGTGGGTGGGTGGGTGTGGGGGTGTGTGTGTGTGTATACTGTGTGTATAAAATAAAGAGAAAAACATGAGTAATGGCACTTTACCCAACCAATAGCACCTGCTGCAAAACAAAATCTGGTAAGGTAAGATACAGAAAAAGACCCACCAGAGTGCCATTCAGTTTTCAATGCTTCAAAGATTTACACACTCTTCCTATTATCATTAATGGCTATTATGACCGTAATCAGTCCCCACGCACCAAGGGGAGAATAAATTCCTCACAGAGGGGAAATAGAGGGTATTCAAAGGAAAAAAATATTTTACGCAGAAAGCTGATGCCTGCTAGTTGATAATGAATGCAGTAGGAGTAATAGTAATTTGTTTAAATTCCTCATTAAATGAGTCATAAAGGTCATGGGGCAATACTAGAAACACACACACACACACACAGCATCTCTGAATTATCCAGCAAAGCAACAACGTTAAAAATCGATTTTTTAAAAAATTAGAGCTAAATATATTAAAAATTAAAAATCAGGATTAAACGAAAAATAAAAGGGAACTAGAATTCCAACAACTTTAAATTATAAAGATCATATAAAAGCAGAAAAGTAGAAGAATGGATCAAATAAGAAAATCCCGTCTGTGACAGTCCACGCTGCCCCAAGTCACTAAATTTGCAGTTGACAGAAACAAAATACAGAGCTATATCTTGTGCACGGGAAAAAAGCAAACATATTCCTAAGTGACCAGAATATATGAGTCTGGTGGGTTGATAAGTGACTTACACAGATCAAATAGGTGTTAGATAATGAGACAAGGGAGCGAAAATACTCTTAGAGGGTAAAAGCTCACAAGTCAGCAGTATAGAGGCATTCTCAAGAGCAGAATCGTTGCATATTTTAATACCTTCTTGGCTAATAAGGATAAAACCGACAGGCAAAGTGAAAATATGGGACTTGGGACGTAATTTCTACTTCCCTGGGAGCAGCATTTCTTAGGGTGATTGGGAGGCGTTTGCTCCTCATCAGATCTTTATTAATCCATTGTCATGTCTCTGTGTTTTATTATTCCTGCCAGGGTAACAGATTATCTTCATGCTTTCAGGTCATAAAGTATACCAGTTAACTCAGGGGATTGAAAACAAAATTAAGAATGAGGTATGGCATGTTCCTTTTCTTCTCAGAGCCTCTGCTTTTTCCCCTGTAAAATGAGGCTAATCGACACTATCCCCTAGGGCGGTTATGTAAGAGAACAGACACTTGTTGTATATCCCCCAAGGGTGATAAAAATGGTGTAAGCCTCCCAGTATCATGTTGGGTCCATGGTGAACACTCAGTAAACATGAGCTGCTATTATCATTGCACTGGAAGGCTTCCCACCATCAAGAGTCATTAAATCCAGGAGATTGGGAGCTGTTTTCCTCTGCAGCATTTTATTTTGTGTTCAAAAGAAATACAGCACAGATTTGGCCAAATCAGCAGACAAATTGTCAAGACCAGGAATAAAGTCTGTTTAGCACACTCTGAATATAGCACCTAACACACAATTATAAATATAGAGTGCTTAATGGGGAGTATTTGATTTAAAAAATGGTAAAATCTATTGCCAAGATTAAATGAGGTGACCTCTTTGGAGTCCTTCCAATAGAGGCAATAAAGAAAAAAAAAGAACATAAATATGTATGTGTCTCTCTAGCTCAAACCCATCTGGCCTATGATATCCATACTGGGCCAGAGCAACCAATATGTGCATCTTCATATTTCTAAACTTCAAACAACGGCCCATGCAGTACAAAACCCAAGAGCACTAAAAGTGGCCTTTGACTCTGCTTGTGATACGCCATCTGTAGCCACCATACCCAGAGGAGAACTGTAGATCAAAAAGAATTACCGCGGTGCCAAAGAGACTCCCATAAAATTGCGCTACGCTATTATACCATTTTGGTTGCCTTTGGGAAATATGTAAGTCAAAAGCATCTAACCATGGGTAAATAAAGTCAGTTTGAACTTACGAAAATAGAAAAGCTGATGGAAGAATAAGTTTGCTCATTTAAGTGGCCTTTTATGTAAAAGGGTTAAGAACCCTACTTCTACCTTCTGCCAATGAGCTATGTTCTTCTGAAAGTTGGGGCAGTATACTCACTCTGATGTGACAAAATTTTAAAATGCTAGTGGGGCAAGGTTCTGTAAACTCTGTCTCTATACCTTACTATGTCTTGCTATTGTATAGTAAGCATCATTGAATAAGAAGTAAAATAAATATAAAGGGCAACAAATCAAAGATTGAATTCTCACAGAGCGGTGGCTCTGGATGAGTGGCAATCCCCAGGCATAAACGTCTACATTCCAATGCTCTAAGAATGGAAGGCTGATCTCCAAAAATCAAAATGACCATTGTTGTTTAAAAACTACCATTTCCTTAGAATAAAAAACAAACGGTCCTGAAATAAGCTTGCCATCTCTATCATCTTATATCCAGGAGGACAATAAGCCAAGAAAGGAAAAAACAGAGAAAAAGCAGTCGAATTACAATATATTTCATCATAGAATGATAGTGTACTCTGAAAAAAAATCCAGTCTAGTTCAAAGAGAACATCATTTCTAAACATTATAGGCAAAAAGAAAGGTTTTTAAAATTTCATTTTGTGTTCAAATTTACTGCAAATTACATATGACAATACAGTTCTTAAATAGTACAAAATGAATCTCCAACTTCAATTTTGGTGCTGTGGTTTTTATATTTGTGTAGTTGTTAAAATAAGATGGAATGTTGGCATAACTATCAGACAGCAGAAAACAAGCTGCTGAATGAGGAGGAAAAGGACCAAAGAAACAGCAGAGAAGGGATTTGTAGTTTGAAAGGAATTTTGGTGCCAATGGTGGGGATTTGTTGTACAGTCTGCATTAACTGGGTTATTTCTGAATGAACATTTGATTATTATAACAGAACATTCTACGTATAATCTCGTAAAACTGTAAATTTCTGGCAGAGTCACTATGAAAGTACGAAGCTGACAAGCCCTTCTTTTGAAAATCTGAGAACTATTTGCATGAGAATTATCACTCTGAAGCAAGCAAATTCCAGTGCTGTTGACTCACTGCCTCAGCCACCTACACTAGGGCTCCCAGGCAGAATGGGTTCCAACACACTGTACGTGGGGATTCCAGGACCCACCAATTCATGGGCGTCACATGGGAAATAACAACAGGAAGAAACTCTGCTGCCAAATAAAAAGACACCAAATCAACAGAAAAACAGTAAGGCCATTTTGTTTATGGTTTAACTGGATTCTTAAATTATTATGCCCTAGGATCTATCTGAAACACAGACTCAAACAAATGAAGAAGGGACTTTTAGGAACTTGAAAAACCATGTATATTTATTATGGCAAGTATGTGCCTCTCAAGTTCAACATGTCAAACACATGATTTCATCCTGTTGGAAAAAATAATAAAAAGAAAAAGGAAGTACAAGTCTTCATACAGAACTCTCAGCCCCTCGTCAATAGGTTGGAAATTGTATTTAGCTGTACGGAACAGAGGAATACATGACTGCTAATTTTCTAACCCATTCATTTTTGTGAAATTCTAATAAGGCAACTGGATTTTTCTAGTTGCTAGACGTCAAGCATCATTTTGAAATATTAATCCTTAGAAAGTAGAAACCATGTCTAAATGACTCTCAGTATACATCATCTATTGTAGCATCACTTGCAAAGGGTTACTGAGATTGACGAAGTAAAATAAATGGTGAGTTTGGGCGCTGTGGCTCTCCCTTGTAATTCTAACACTTTGGAAGGCTGAGGCGGGTGGATCGCTTGAGACCGGGAGTTCAAGACGAGCCTGGGCAACAGAGGGAGACCCGGTCTCTACAAAAAATGAACTGGGCATGGTGCTGTGTACCTGTAGTCCCACGTACTCAGGAGGCTGAGGTGGGAGGATCACCTGAGCCCAGGAAGTCCAGGCTGCAGTGAGCCAAGATTGCACCACCGCATTCCAGCCTGGGCAACAGAGCAAGACACCGACTCAAAAAAAAAAAAAAAAGAGTTTGCTTTAAAGGGCATTGTAGGAAAATCGAAAGTGATCTCTACTTGGGGGAACTCATCTAAAACCCAGGTTAAACCCCATTTCTACCACTATCTGGCTGTTAATCCTGGACAAATAATAATACTTAATATCTCTGTGTCTTGATCTCTTCGGCCTTAAAACCAGGTTTCTAATCACACATGCCTCCCAGAATAGTGAGAAAATAATGTTAAAAGCATTTAGATGGTGGCC